CCATCTGAAACTCTTATATATTAAGCCTAGCCATCATCATAGTGGGCTCAAGACTAACCCACAGGGTTCGAACCCTTCTACATTTTTATTTTTGTATTTTTTATCAAACTGAAAATAATTTCACAAGTTTTAATAGGTTGTAGTTTAAGATTTTTTATACAAAAAAAAAATTAAATGCAAGTTTAATCAAGCTACCCTCAACCTGTTCAAGCTAACCTATTTAAACTTACTTAAAATAGAGTCTATTAAGACTAGTTCGTTTAAGCCAATTTTGTAATTCTAAGATTTTATATGTAAATCCAACCCTCCTGTTAAATAGACTAAAACAAACTAGCTCATTAAGTTTAATTTATTTTCTTGGCTCTGTTGATAACAAGAACTCACCACTCAAACTTGGGCGTACGTGCTGCAAAGAGTGGATTCCCTGTTGAGTGTTCATTTAAAGTTAGCTTTTTTCAATAGTGATATTTTTGTACTTTCATTTTGTATTTTAGATCTTTGATTCAAAATAATTAAATCAGCAGCTTGTGAGCATTGTTTTGAAAGCACACTTGCTATTGAAAATTTAATCACTACTTTATATTTAGATTCAAACTCAAAACCTTTAATTAAATTAGACCAATCCTTAGTCAATCAATCAAGCGATTAATGGTTAAATAGTTATATTAGAATATTTGATTGAGTCTAAACTCAAACTCTAAACAAGTTTGTATAGCTTTTTTAAGTAATTTTTTTTATTTGCAAAATCTGGATTTAACCTAGCTAGCTTAAAAATATGCAGTGTTTGCCATGTATCCCGTTTACCTAGGTAAGTACTCCCTCCAGTACTGATTATTGGATAAAGTAATTTTAAAATTTTATTTGATATTAAATATATGGTAACGATATAATAGTTAGTTATCTTATTAATATTATCCATCCTTAATTATATCTAGGTGCTCTCTGAGATTCTATTTATAAAATAGACATAAAATATTTTTTTTATCATATTTATAAGTCATATTATTAAATATTTATTACAAATTTTCATTTTTATCATCTATTAAATGTCATTAAGAAAAAGTATATATGTTATTAAAATATGTATCTTTAATGTAGACAAAAATAAGAACTTATATTTTACCAAAAAAATGAAAACTTATTAAATTTTTAAACAAGTTAATGAGTTTTAAATTTTTCTTTAATTTTAATAAAATATATTAAAAGTTACTTAAAAAAATTAAAAGGATATTGACAAACTTTTAATTAGGCACAATAGTGTGGTCATTGATGATTTCAGGGTGAAGGTAACATTAAAAAATTAAATACTATTTTACAAATGTAAAGATATCAATTACTTCCTCTATCCTAAATTATAAAATATTTTTAAATAAAATCAGATATATTAATAAATCTAATTAAATATACTTAATAATTTTATTTTTTTAAAAAATATAAAATTTCACAAATATCTTTTATTTAATATACTGAAAAGAAAAAAGGACAAAAATTTGATAGAAAAAGAAAGGATAATATTAGAGCAAGCTTACTTAATAAAATATTAATATCATCAAAATATCTTATACTTTAAAATGTTATCTTATGATTCGACAACAAAGAAGTACTTCTTCCATGTCAATTATAGAGCATTTTTTAAGGAGTTTTTATGTCAAAAAATATATGATACTTTGGATAGATTAATATTTCATTAAATGTATCAATTTTAATATTATTTTTTTTATAATTAATTTTCATCCCTTTTTTTCAATATATTAAATAATAAGTATTTTTAAAAATTTATATTTTTATTTTTAAAAAATAAAATTGTTAAATATATTTAATAAAATTTATTAATATATTATATTTTATTTAAAAATATTTTATAATTTAATAATACTAAGGGAGTATCATTTTCTAGCAACAGCAAAATTAATAATTAAGATGTGAGGCGGTAACTTGAGCTCCTTTTTTCAGATAAAAAGTAATGTGTCTTTATGATGAAGTCATGTACCCAAACGTTAATTAAATACTACAGATCCGTGTAGTTATTATCCTTTCTGCATCAATGTCCAGCTGCCTCATTTTGACTGTTAGCTCATGTCAGTTTCCTCAATGATTTAGTCGTACCCTCTTACTGTATCAGAGCACCTCATCTTTGGATCTAATCAATAACCTGATTCCCTCTGCACCAACAAAAACCAACCCCATTTACTCTCTACAGACAATCCTAGATCTTCTTACATTACTTGCATTACATTACCGTACAACCAATGTTGGCCCATGAATTAACTTCAATAATCTTTCAAACTACTCATGCTGCAACACACGAATTCTTGCATTTACCCAATACACAACGCCGTTTGTATAGTATTCAATTAAAGCATGCCATATCAAATTCATTTAATTTTATGTGTTAGTCATCATCTCTTTAAATTATTTTAATTTCTTGCATTTCTTCTTCTTCATTTTAATGTAAGATTTTATTTAACTGAAGTGATGTAATTTTATTGAATAAGATATAGATGAGCTGTACTCTTAGTCCTTACAAGAAGTTGTCTATTGTAATATTCCCCCGTTCAATATTGTAAGGCACAATTTTAACCAATTTATATCTTCTAATAAATTAATTAATTATTTTTATAAGAAAAAGTATAATTATTAATCCCTATAATTTTATTGGATTATGTATTTAATCGTGAATTTTTTTTCTATTTTTTAGTCCTTATAAAAATTAAAAACACTAAAATTATAAAGACTTGAGTAACAAATGTCATCCAATCTTAATAATATTATGAAAATTAAAAATATTAAAAAAATTATGGAGACTATAATAAAAAATTTATAAAACTATAAGGATTGATTATTGTGTTTTTTCCTCTTTAAAATTACACACTCCTTTTATATTTATTTTTATTTAATAGGATATCTTAACTAAAAAAGTATTAATTATACCCTTATTAAGAGTATTTTTAGAAAAATATTATTAATTATAATTAAAAAATTTTAAAAAAATATTTTTTAACATGATACTTAAAAATGTCATTTAATATATGACGTTATGTGTCCCACATCTATTACTTTTACAGTGGCAACTGACAGGAAGAAGAGGCAAAGGCAGCAAAATTGTGAGTGGACACGAGAGGCCATGACATATGATACTCTAGTCTTATCTATAAATTATTTTTTTATTAATTTTATCATATCAATAGCATAAAAATATTAAAAATAGAAATAAATAAAATTTTAAATATAATACTCAAATAAAAGATAAAAAATAAGTAAATAATATAATATTATTTTTTTATTTTTCTTTCTTTTATTTTTTAAGAGTAGTTTAAAAATTTTAATTTAAAATAAAATAATTTTATTAATTAATAATTTATAAAGTAAATCAAATTATATTTTTAAGAGGTGAATAATATATAGAACTGAAGGAATATAGGATAAAAGCAACACATAATTACAGGTGTTCCTCTTTGTATATTCCAATTTTCAAGTCCCTAAAAGTTTATTCCCAAACTAAATAGCAAGCTTTCCCTTTTGTTAAGCAGAAGACCAATGTTTCTTGTGTCCTATGAGGTTCGTGTGTGGATAGGGATTAAAAAATAGAAAAAGATGAGGGATAAGTTATCAATAAACGAGCAAGATCAAATTGTGAAAAGTATGATATTGAAACCTGGACCAGACCGGCCGGGTCAACCCAAAAACTGGTGACCCCGTCTCTTGTCCGGTCTAGGTTTACTCCTAAACCGGTGAGGGGATGAATCGGTGTAAACCGGTCAACCCAAGTTCAACCCGGTATAACCCAGTTAACCCGGTGGGTTGACTGGGTTAACCGAGTTATTTTTTTGAATTTTTTTTATTTTTTATTTTTCATAGTGCTCAGTTTAAAAATAAGATAACAAAAAAAAAGTGAAACTAAAGTCAAAAAATAAAAAATTAAAGGTAAAGCACGCTAAGTCAAATCCAAATTTTTAGACAGCATTTAGTTCAGCCTTTTATCTCTGTCTCTCCTCTCTCACCCTAACCTAATCAACGTCTCTTCTCTAGCTTAGTCTTCGTCTCTTTTCTAGGCTCTAACTCTATCTCTGTCTCTTTTCCAGCTCTATTTCTATCTCTGCTATCTCCATCTCTTTTTCAGCTTAGTCTCTGACTCTCTGTCTCTTTTCCAGCTCAATCTCCATTTCTTCTCCAGCTCTATCTCCATCTCTTCTCTATACTTTTAATATTAAAGAGTTGTAATTGTAATAATAGATATTTAAAGTATTGTGTTTTATTACTGTTAGACTTTTGAGTGGTTGGATTTGGTTGAATATTTTTATAATTAATGTCTTTTTATTTAAATTATATTATTTAAATTATGACCGATTTGCCACCGGTTCAACCCCCGGTTCAACCCTAATTGAACCACTAACCTGTGACCCAGTGTCATGACCGGTTTAATGACCGGTCCGGTTTTACGTACCTTGGTGAAAAGTTACTTCTTTTATTTCTGTATATAAAATATTTTTAATTAAATCTCGTATATCAATAAAGTTTATTATTTAGTTAAATTTATGTAAAAACATAATAATTTTTCAGTTTTATTCTTAATAATATCATAATTAATATTATAATAATGGGAAGGAAAACATACATTTAATTATTTATTTTATTTTTTAAGAGAAGGATAAAATTATTTTAATTACTTAAAAAAATCATTGCTAATCTTTTTATTTAAGAACAAAATAAATTTTTTAAAAAATATTTTATATATAGAGATGAAAAAAGTAACTCACTTTGTTGGTATCTATAATTAAGTAAAGAAAATATTAGCTAATGATTTCATTCGTTTAACAAATGCTCAAATGGTGTACCCACTGGCTTAAGGTTCTCTAGTCTCTTGATCAAAGAAAATGGAGAATCCACAGAAGCAAAAGTAATGATCCCTTGAGACCATGATTAACTCACTTTGTTGTTATCTATAATTAAGTGTAAAGAAAATATCAGCTAATGATTTCATTCTAACAAATACTCAAATAGTGTACCCACTGGCTTAAGGTTCTCTAGTCTCTTGATCAAAGATAACGGAGAATCCACAGAAGCAAAAGTAATGATCCCTTGAGACCATGATTAACGCATAGTCTTTCAGATCAAGTGCAACTGAAGAGGCTGGCTATAGTTATCACTTATCAGTGTCACCTAATCTTGTCCTCTTCTTTATAACATGACCTTCCATTAAGGTTCTTTCTAGCCCTGCACCTTCCGCCATCGAAGATGGAGCAAGAAATGGACCGAACAAAGAGAAGCACCAGAGAAGAAACTGATCCAGAGAAATGGGTGCTCGATGCTTCTGTGGATCACAGAGGCAGATTTCCTCTTCGCGCTTCCACTGGCGTCTGGAAAGCCACCCCCTTCGTTCTCAGTAAGTATTTTCATCTTTAGCCGAAACATGTTTCTTCTCATTGAACCATCCATTTCACTACTAGTATATGATTAGCCCAGAACATTTAACAGCTTTCTATATCTCCCCAACCTCGCGGTTACTGAAGGTGAACTACAAATATCAGTCTGTAGAAGCTGATAACCTGCATTTTAAAACTACAGGATTCTAAATTTCTGGTTTCAGCTGAAGTTTTTGGGTTCATTCTGACAAAAATCATTTACTCTTGGAGATGGCTTTTAGTACCATTGAATTGAACTTCCATGACGGTTGATTCTCTGCTAGAAGGTAGAAACATGGCTTGGTGATTTTGAGTCAATTATTTTGTGGCAGCCATTGAATTTAGCGAGAGAGTAAGCTTCTTCGGAATAGCAACGAATCTCATCACATACCTTACCAAAGTGATTCACCAAGACCTCAATACAGCAGCAAAGAATGTGAATTACTGGGCAGGAACAACGACCCTGATGCCTCTAATTGGAGGATTTGTCGCTGATGCCTACACTGGCCGGTTCTATATGGTTCTCTTTTCGTCCCTCGTATACCTTATGGTAACCAAACCATATAAAAAATCTCATCTTTTTGCCAATCTGGTTCTGACCCACCTCGAAAAATCTGACCTTTTGTTGTTGTTGTTGTTGTGAAAGCAGGGGTTAAGTCTCTTGACTATGTCTCAGTTCGTCCCAAGTCTAATGCCATGCAACAACAATACAAAGGTATGTGGTAAGCCTAGGAAGGCTCATGAAGTGGTTTTCTTCCTTGCACTGTACTGTATTTCCTTGGGTACAGGAGGATACAAGCCTTGCTTAGAGAGCTTTGGGGCTGATCAATTTGATGATGATCACTCGGAAGAGAGGAAGAAGAAGATGTCTTACTTCAATTGGTGGAACTTCGCCCTGTGCTTCGCGTTGTTGCTTGGGGTTACTGTGGTTGTTTACATTCAAGACTATGTGGGCTGGGGACTAGCGTGTCTTTGCCTCACAATTCTTATGGCTTTAACCATCATAGCTTTCTATGTTGGAAGGCCATTTTACAGATTCAGGAGCCCAGAAGGAAACACTTTGACACCAATTTTGCAGGTCATAGTTGCAGCTATAAGGAAAAGGAACTTGCCCGGTCCTTCAAATCCTTCTGTGTTTTATGAAGTCCCCAAGTCCCAGGGAAGGCTTCTAAGCCATACCAACAGGCTCAGGTATACACTAATATTCTTACATTTTTTCTGCATAAACTTGTTAGCTTGGAATTAATTATCCTGAATTCCATCAATAGGTGTCTGGACAAGGCTGCAATAATCGAAGACAAGAATGAGGAGCAGAAAGACATCAATCCTTGGAGACTGACAACGTTAACGAGGGTGGAGGAGACAAAGCTTATTCTTAATATGATTCCCATATGGTTAACTTCATTAACAAACGGAATATGCATAGCACAGAGCACAACCCTCTTCGTGAAGCAAGCAGACGCCATGAAACTGAACATAACTCACAGTTTCAAGATCCCACCAGCCTCCCTAGCCGCAGCAGGGGCTCTGGGAACCTTAATATCTGTCCCCATATACGACAGAATCATTGTACCATTTTTGAGGAAAGTCAAGAAAAACGAAAGAGGCATCAGCATCTTACAGAGGATCGGCATTGGCTTGGCGTTCTCAGTTCTGGTCATGGTAGTGGCAGCCTTAGTGGAAACAAAGAGACTAGGAACGGTCATGTCTGGGAGTGAAAAGATGAGTGTTTTCTGGTTGGTGCCTCAGTACTTGTTACTAGGTATTGGGGATTCATTTTCTCTTGTGGGTTTGCAAGAGTACTTCTACGACCAGGTTCCTGACTCGATGAGAAGCTTAGGGATAGGTTTGTTTCTGAGCGTGATTGGGGCGGGAAGCTTCTTGAGCAGCTTCTTGATTATAATTGTGGATCATGTGACAGGGAAAAATGGAAAGAGTTGGATCGGGAAGGATATAAATGTGAGTCGTTTGGACAGGTTTTACTGGCTTTTGACTGTGTTGGGTGCTTTGAATTTTTGTGTCTTTGTGTTGTTGGCAAGAAGATACACTTATAAGGCAGTGCAGAGGAGGATAATTGTAACCGACGATGGCGTTGAAGACAAAGCCACTAGGGTTTAGTTTAGCTTACCGCTACATTTTCTCTGCTGAACCTGATGTTGGACATGTAATTGTACCAGGGAAAACTAATCATTGAGTAGTCCCTGTTATCTTAATTAACAATTTAATCGGTTGAGTGCAATTTATTCCTTCAGATTTTAATAATTTAATCTCTCAGTCCTTACACTTTAGACTTGGTTATAACTCCATCTCTAAAAGGACTGAATATATTTTCATGACTGAAATTTGAGAGATTGAATAAAATTATTAAATTTTAAAAATTGATTTATAATTAAGTTAAAATTATATGAATTAAGTGATTAATTTTTTTCTTGTTTCGACTTATTTTTTTATGGTTTGAAAGTCTTCCTTTTTAAAAAAGATTCAGAATTCTTCTTAGTTGTATTATATTATAGAATCACACAACCAATCACCCATGCCATGTGCCATGGACAACATAGCACAAATGTTTATATGCTTAACTTTCCCTGTTTCTTCTACCCTTGGTAGCGACTTAGCGTTCAAGTCTACGGCTATTGCCTATTGGGCCATAGTTTCTCAAAGAAGAGTATGCTCATTACAAACGTAAAATTGGCCCCAAGTGAAAAAAATCGTGTGTTTGACAATTGTTTTTTGTTATTTGTTGAAGTGTCCAACCGTTATTATTTTGATTTTCGTATGTTAAATTAAATATGATAGAGTATTGTACTCTATAATATGTTTGAAATAAATCCATGGACCAATATTTATTCTATTTGAGAATGCAGTATATCGTTTGTTTCTTGTCTGTCCCCCTATAACTAATGAACGCGTGCTCATCAAAAGTTTGACCTTAGTCCTATGCCTATGCTCGGCATGAGGGAAAAGTAGGGAGAACATCATTTTTTTTCTCACTTGGCTTCGATGATAAAAGCAGAGGGAAAAGAAAAGTGAGAGGAAAATAATATAAGAGACATACATATTTTTACTTAATTTTTTTTCTTCAAATATATGGAGATTTTGGAGGAAAAAATTTATTTTAAAATTTATCTATTAATTTTTTCATTGTGGCCTCTTGCTTTCCTTTATTTTTGTCATGACATTTGTAGTTTAGTTACATCTTGATCATAAACTTTTGTTAAACAAGCAATATATTTAATTTTTAGACTAATTAAACAATGTTAATACTAAATTTTCAAGTTAATTATCAGTTAAATACCTTATATTTAGTTGTAGTTTCAAATTTTAAGATTATTATATATTTAATAATTTAATTTGGATAAAATAATTTTTAATTATGTTTTTGTTCAATCAATAATATATGATAAAAATTATTACATATATAATATGTTAAAATATTAAATTTTATTATATAAATATTTTTATAAATAACAAGGTTATTATTGTCTATATAAAATTAACAACTTTTCTCTTGCCTAGCCAAATACAATGAGAGATTATATCCCTCCCACTTTCTCTTCTCTTCATTTTCTCTCCTCTCATTATTTCTCCTTCCTATTTTTCTCCATGAGCCAAGCACAGCATAAACTTCAGTCTTTATTATAAGACATATCTAAATAGCTCACCGATAAGGAGAATTGTTAAGTTATTAACTTGGAGAATAAACTTTCAATTTTACTTTTTTTAATGATTTTTTTAAAAAAATTTACTTTACATTCTCTTTTATATTTCCTTCATTCAAAAATGCAAAGTATTTTTTGAAGAGTTAGATATTCAAAAATACAAGAAATTTTTAATATTGTAAGATATAATCATTGCCTTTTTTTTTCAAAAGTGTCCCTATTGATGAATGATATTATATTTATTGTAAGGTATTTAATAGGGGTAAATATGAAAAGATAAGATTAGTTTGAAAGTAGGTAACTATTTTATTGAGAGACGAGATTCGATTAAAAATGTCTTATATTTTTTAACAAAGTGAGTACTTAATTAATTTAAATGGAAGTAATATGAAAAAATGTAATTAATATCAAGTGAATTGCTTTATACTAAGAACTAAAGAATTTGTATGGAAGACATTTTATAATAGAGGGCCAAGAAAGACTAATATTAGTTGTAAGAAAATGTTTATACTTTAGACTGGATGAAACATTTTTAAATAGTAATTAAAGCAATATTTCAATCCACCTTGATGATTTTACTTATTCTCCTCCTTCAAGGTTCTAGATGTGTCATTGAATACTATCCAACTGACACTAGTCTTTTTAGTAAATTATTTTTCATTTTTTAAGAGAAAAAACTCCAAGATAATAAGTATTCCGTGTCAAGGGAATCATAAAAAAAATCATTTTTATTTGTAAGAGACTAAGTGATGCAGTATGGGAAAGGGAAAAAGGAAAGGAGAATATAGAGAAGAGAAAAAAAAAAGTAGAGAGAATATGGAGAGAGAAAAGTCTAGATAGAGAGAAAAGAAAAATGCAGAAAAAAGGCAATACAATAGTAATTTTTATTTAATAATGGATGTGTCTATTGAGTAAATGAGTTAATGTATTATTTATAAATCTCAACCTAATCCTAGAAATAAATGATAGAAAATTTTAAAAATTCTAAAATTAAATAAAAAGAGAACAATAAATACTGAAAGATGACAATAATTAAAATATTACGCTAATTAAAAATAAAATATTTCTAATTAATAAAATATCTTATTAAAATAACTTCAATTCTCTAATCTTCTTAAATCTTCAATATTTTTAATTCCTTTTCCTTTTCTTCTCATCATTTCTCCATCACTCGAATAGCTCTCATTCACAGAGTAAAATTATAGATATGGTTAGGAAGTATGATGGAATCAAGAGATTTCAAGTCATTGCTCTATTTGGGAACCCCTTCCAACAAATTAAATATCAATAAATGGTATTAAGTGAATAACAAACAATTTGAGTATATAGAAGTACACCGTAGAAATTTTAAAATCCTTTACAATGGGCAATATAATATTGGTGGGGACTTGGTCACCTTTACAAGTGTACGAGATTGATATAGTAATAAATTTAGAGTATTTTGGGTCGAACCCAGAGGAAGATAGCGATCTTTGTTATTTAAGAAAATAAATAAGGATATTTTTAAAAAGTATTTAATAATTTAATAAAGCAAATAAATGAGAAAATTAATAAAAATGATAAACCAACCAATCAAACAAGCGTCAAGATTAAGATTCACCTATTAGGATGGATTATCCTAATTCAATTGATTATCTTCCCTTTTTTTATAATAACAACCATTTCTGAAGTGTCTTAATTACCTTTCAGTATATTAAAATGTATTTACTCCCTTTGTTTTTTGTTATTAGAAAAACTATCACTTTTCACTTGTATTTGTTTATAGAGAAAATCACTCATTTCAATAAGTATTCATGTTGATCAATGAGAAATAATTATTTACATTTCCTACATAACCCCTTATGATTTACATTAACAAGAAATAATTAATGCATATTTATGTTAATTAACACAGAACATTTTAGTCTAATTTTTTTTATTTTCAGACATAATTATTTTAATTGACTTTCTTAAATTGTGTGATATAGTTTTTTCTTATATATAGAAATAGAGGGAGTAATTAGAGTTAAATCTAGCTCTCAATAAATTTCATTCTTTAACCAAACTATGAAATTACAATCTAAGCCACCATAGATTTCTAAATTATTTATAATCTAGTTATTTGTGTCTGTCTCTTCAGGTTTAGGTAAGTTTTTTACCTTTTAATTCATTAAACTACCCACATACAATCTATATAATGGTGGTTTATATAAAGAGTAATTAAAATAAAAGAGATAAATGAAAAGTAACATAAATTCTCATTGACAAAAATCCATGTTCAACAAAAAAAATAATTAAAATCAAATAAAAGAATAAATCCATCATAGCTAGGCTGCACTCTATCCTGACTAAGAGTTTAGCAAGAACTCATAGAGTCAAAGCTATAATCCTATATAGAAAACATGAACATAATCTATAGAAAAAGAGAAAAAGAGAGAGTTCCTAATTCGAAAGACTCCCTTGGACTTTGTAATATGTCTCCTAGTCTTTAGATGTGAGATTAGGTGTATTGAGATGCTTTTAAGAGGTTTCTTTATAATAAATTTGACCTCAATAGGCTTAGAATCCGTCTAGATCATGCCTTATCGTATTAGATATGATGATTGTGAACATTATATTTTGTCCTAGCTTTCGAATGTAAATTAAAAATAATAAAAAAAGCATAACAAAATTAATTAAATAAAATAAATAAAAAGGCAATTAAAAAGGTTTCCTTTATTTTTAAAAAATAATAATCTTTCCTTTTTTATGTGTATTGAAAAGTTGCTTTCAACTCAGATGCAACTGTATTGAATACAACATGTTTTTACTCTGATTTTAGCTTGTGAAAGTTATATTATAGTGGCACCTTCAATGCTTTGATAATTATTTATTTTCTAAAGAGTTGGTAATCCACTTAGGTAAATCTTGTACTTATCATTGGAGTTATGGTTAAGTATTAGATAGTAAAGGCAACCTTACACCTCGTCTTTCTTCTTCCTCTATCCTGCCCTATCATCACTTTTCTCCCTCTCTACCCAAATTCTTTGCAACTTCATTTTAGCCTTAAACATAGCAAGGGTCTTTTGATCGCTTCTGTACCTCTTGTTCTTCTTTTCCTTGACTCCCACCTGACACCACGTACAAACCCTAATTTTAGGAAATCAATTGAAATAAAGGCGAAGAAGTGAAGGAGGGAGAGAGGAGTAGGCACCGTGTAATGTCACCCTTACTGCCTCAGCTACTTAACCAAAAATAGGTTGGTAAATATGATCTAAACAATTAAACTTGAGCTTTAAAAACATAATAGTAATAAATATAGGATCCCAAGTTTTAGTCTTAAAACACTTTAAATTAAATTATAACCAAGTTAATATCAAAGAAGAATGATTATTAAAGCATAAGATACTCATTTATATTTAAAACCATCGAAAATAGGGTTTAAAACATCATCAAGGCAATCCATCACAGCTGAGCACAATGCACTACGCTATGCCCTCTTTGTGTCATGCATCACGTCGCATTACACAGAACCAACCAGCAAAATGTTATCAAATGATAGTTCTAGGGCCAAATTTTCCAGCACACCCCAAATCTCTGTTCAACATCCAATTGAAGCAATCTAAGTGCCCACAGAAAGATCCT